AAACTTTTACCCAAAGCCCTTCAGACAAGTGCAGAAGGAAGGCATTAGCAAACACAGCACAGGTTGCAGAGGCCACTGTCCCAGGCACGGCTGTGGGATTTAAAACTTGTATAAGCTGGGAAAAAGTAGAGTGGAGTTCATTTGTCCTAAACCTTTAATAAACTCCTTCCTGGGAGGTGCCTCCTTCTTCTGGGCTCACTCAGATTTGCAGCTTGAGACACCCAGGGTTAGGCTGGAAGCCACAGAAATGGTCAGGTTTAATAAAGTGGAGCCTGAGCACACACAGATTTAGGGTCAGGGATGTGTCCTTGGGCCACAGCACAACCCAGGGCACAGAAAAGGTTCAGTACAGGGAGCACAGGGTGGGCACAGGGATCCCAGCCAGATTTCACCCCACAGGTCACAGCAAGCAGCCTCAGGCTGAGAATGGGGACACTGGTGAGGAACACAGGGCTCACGCTTTGCTGCTGTGTTGGATTTGCACAGTAATTCAGATGCTGTTGTGGAGGAGAGGGAAAAATTGCTTGACTGGGAATTGCCAGAGCCCCCCAGTGATGACATCACACAGGATTGTGATTTGTGCTCTTTATTCAATGTTTCCATTGAGCTGCTTGCCCCCAAAGCAATGGTACTTTGGTCTTCCATGATGCTGCCGAGACAAGGAACCTGGCTGGGAAGGTACTGATGCATCAATAAAGGACATTTCCAGCATTTCCTGTATTTAATGTGTGATTTGCAAACTACCTTGTGTTTTCTTACAGAATCTCAGAAATATTTTGGTGGGAAGGGACCTTAAAAATATTTCTGTGTCCAGGATCCTGCTGCTCTGCTGTGACTTCAAAGATTTCCCTGGAGCCCTCAATGCCTGTGGGAGAGGTGGCAGGAATGGCTGGGAGCTGCCCCAGTGTCTGCCCCAGCCCAGCACATCTCCCAAACACAGGATCCAGCCCCAAAAGCCCTGAATTCCTACACCCAGCAAGGCCAGGGATATTCAGCGTGGGATTTTCCTGCCCAAATAAATGAGCAGGGATCCCTCTGGCCTGCTTTGCCAGCAGCTCTTTCCCATGACACTTTAATCCCACTGAGACAGGAGCAAGCAGCACCAGGAGGTTTCACTGCATCCACCCAGGGCTCACACAACCCCTTCCACCCAACAGCACGAAGAAAACAAATTCCTCACATCAACATTCTGCCAGGAACAGATGAGCTCTCCTGGGTTGGCATTGACACTGGAGAACCCCTGGACTGGCAATGTCACTGCAGCATGAGGCCAGGTCCTCATCCCTCCCTGCAAAGACTGAGCTGGGGCTCCCCAGCTCCCCTGGAGAACCTGCAGAGCAAAGTGCACCTTGCAGTCGTGTCTTTGTCATGTGTCTCATGGATGAATGGATGGTGGATGGATGGATGGATGGATGGATGGATGGATGGATGGATGGATGGATGGATGGACGGACGGATGCTCAACAACACCTGCCCCAGTTCCATCAGCCCAGTTCCCAGCTGCACAAGCTGTCACACCCACACATGTGGCACAGCCAAAGGAGCATTGTTGGTTTTGCTGCCCCAGGAAAGGTGCCACTGACGTGTCCTGGATGAGGTTTGGCTCATCAGAGTCACATTTCCTCAAGGCAAAAACACCTGAGCTGAGCCCAGCTGGGTTGGGATGGGCATTCCCATTTATCTCCTGCACAGGGGGTGTGAAAAGGAGAACTACAGGAATAACATCACTGTGACTGTGGAGGAATGGGATGAACCAAAGGGATTTACCAGGGGTGCTCCCTGAAAGGCAGAAATGAGCATTCTTAAAAAACAACTGGTATTTATTGACTGACAAGAACACAGCAATGAAGACACTTGTGCAACATTGGACAACACATTATAATCAAATGAATATATAAAAATTAACACAAGGTACAAGCAGGACTGAAATGCAACTTAAACCCCATAGCACCACTTTCTTTCTAGAGGAAATACAAGAAATATAAATAACACCCACACTTCTTGTCACACAAGTTGAACATCTTGAGGTAGACAAAATTTTTCTTTCCCTTAAGGCACAGACTTATTTTTTTCCAAGTGACATCTTTATTATTTGGCTGAAATTGGCCTCCAGGT